AATTGATGAACATGTTAAGGACGTTCCTAGTAAAATAGACAGTTTGGGACATCTAATTAGCAATGTCATCAGAGACAAAAATTGGGCTGGAGAGATGGCTCAGCACTCAAGAGCATTAGCTGCTCTTACAGAGGGCCCAATTCCCAACACCCAAATGGCGTCTTACAACCATCTGTAATTCCAGTTCCAGAGGATCTGACCTCCATGGGTACCAGTCAGGCATACAGGTGGTTCATATATATGCAAGAAAACACTCATACACATTAAATAAATAGATAAAAGTTTTATAAGAGTAAAAACTCCCCCCCCTCCAAAATAAATAGGAAATAGAACAAAGCTAGTGAGATTCTCCAGCCTGATGACCAAGGGAAATGGCTCAGTTAGTGAGTACCTACCCCACAAGGATGAAGACATGACTTCAGTGTTCCCATAGCCACCTGAAAAAGCCGGAGTCATGGAGACAGGCAGATCCTTGTGTCATGGTGGCCATTCTAGCCAAATTGGTAGGTGCCAAGCTCAGTAAGAGGTCCTGTCTCAAAATATCAGGTGAACAGTGGTGTGGGAGAATTGTCTGTATTCTGTCAATCATATTTTAATAAAATGCTGATTGGCCAGGCAGGCAGTATAGGCAGGAAAGCCAGACAGGAAGTAGGGGTGGAGCAATGAGAACAGGAGAATTCTGGGAAGCAGGGAAGTTCCTCTGCCACTCCTGCGCAGATCACTGAAGAGGCAGCATGTAACTTGCCCAGCTGAGAAAGGTACGGAGCCATTATGGCTAACATAGATGAGAATAATGGGTTAATATAAGTTATAAGAGTTAACAAGAAGCCTGACCTAATGGGCCAATCAGTTTATAACCTTATGGAGTCCTGTGTGTAATTTCTCTTTGGGATTTGCCGGCTGTTGGGGTACCGGGCGGGATGGAAACCCCAACAAGCCGGCCCTCATGCTACAGAACAGCAATTGAGGAAGACATTGAACATTGATCTGGCCTCCATGTATGTACATGCATGCACAACTACATATACAAGCATTACACACATAAAGAAAATTCTAGAAGTGAAACTCTAATGGCATTTATGAAGACACTGTTTCCTAGTGTAGAATGCGCAAGTGTTCTGAAGTAATGTTTGTATCTACTTTGATAGAAGTGAAAACATGGATGATAAATTCTACTAGATAGTTGCACCTCTGGTAAAGACGAGAAGCTTCCCATTTCATGGGAAGTTATATCTGAATTAAGCGTGGATTAATGTGGCTTTCAAAACATTCAACAGAAAGGCGGTGAGTCTTATTCCTCTGTGAGAAAGCTGTCTGGGAAAAGATCTCCTTTAGTTCCTATTTTCAAACAGTTCTGGAATTGTAAACAGGTTGTCTCTCCGTCTGAGTAAAAGACCTCTTGGGAGCGTGGCATGGAAGGAAGGTCGCCTCTCCGCCAATGGAAAGATTGGGTAACCTTGGTGCATGCCAGAGAGAGGGCCCAGACTGCACGCTATGGCTCTCACTTCTCAGGGTCCTTCCAGGGTCCACTCTGCCGGGCACTCAGCAAGGTCTTAGTATATTCTGGCTGATTAGTAGATTGTGTGAGGCAAGGGTTAGTGGCTCTGCGATGGATCACTGTACTGTATGCGGCGGGGCAAACTAGCAAAAAATTGATAGGCGATGTCGCTGTTCTTAATGGCTATTTTAGATTTTAAACTCCGGGTTATTAGCAGCACAGCAACAATACTGAGGGAATTAACTAGACCTATAAAGAGTGTTACCTCTTTGTGGAGGCTCTTCCGCATACTGAAATAGCAGTAGAAATCATCCAGGGTTTCTCTGCCAGGTCACAAAAAAGACTCAGGGAATGATCTTAAAGTTTAACGTTTTAGTTTCCCCTTTACTTTTCCTGCATCTTGAAAAACTTCGTAGCGGATGGGGATGGGGCTGGAATGAAGACCACTTGGGAGTTGTAATGAACCTAGCTTATTACTACGAGCTACTGAGATGGAAGGAGAGAGCTGATGAATAACACTGGGCACCTCAGCCTCATCGCTACCCCCTGAGACGCCGTGAGTCACCTAGCACAGAGTACCTCGCCAGCCTCACCACAGGCTGGCAAGAGTTGTCAGTATCTAATGGATGATCAGAGTGGCCTTAGCCAACTTGTCTCTGGACGCATAGTCTGAAAAATGGTAGGGCTAGGATTTGAACGAAGCTGCATCTGCCTCTGAAACCCAGGCCTACCTCTAAGGCCACGAGACTGGGTCCTGCTTAGCTTATCCAAAGACTAACATGACAGCTGTCCCCAAAGGAGGCTCCTAAGCATTGGTTTCCTAGTTGGCTGGATTAGGCCAAAATGTCTGTAGAATGGTTCCAGAGGTTTTAGATATGTGTAGGTGGAGAATGCTCATGTGTTTTCTGGCCACCCAGACGCGAATAATCACACACAAACTATATTAATTACAACACCGTTTGGCCAATAGCTTATGCATATTTCTAGCTAACTCTTACATCTTAGATTAACCCATTTCTATTATTCTGTGTATCACCACAAGGCTGTGGCCTACCGGGTAAAGTTCTAGGGATCTATCCCCTTCAGCTACTACATGGCATCTCTCTGGCTCCACCTACTCTCTTTCTGTATCTCTGTTCAGATTCCCCCCCAGCTATATTCTGCCCTGCCATAGACCCAAAGTAGCTTCTTTATTAACCAATAGTAGTAAAACATATTCGCCGCATACAGAGGAGAATCCCACATCAGATATGCACAGCCTCTCTTCAACTTCTACACACCATGAGGAAATGACCCAGTATTACTGAACTGGGATTTCAAAATAATGAGAAAATAGAGGTGTGATGTGTATTCAAAATTTAGCTACCCCTACAGAGGCCAATTACAGATCCTGACTGCTTATAAGGTCATTCACAGGGCAGAGATAGCCACTTGATATAAAAGCCCCCGTGAAAACAAGTGCTCATTTGGTTTTCCATGGTATTGTCTACCTCAGATAAAATTATTTTTATTTTCATTTTCTTTGCACCATGGCAGGCATCGCAGCTCTCAGCATATTTCAACACATCTGAATTTGGTATTTTGTACTTGGCTTGGTTTCCACTAGCTACTTCATTCAGTTCTATGACCTACTCTCCTGGGTCATTGCACATTAGAGTATCCCATGGCCCACATCTGTTTGCTGCTCTTCTTCCCCTATCCCTCTGTATGCATTTTATACACCAATCGCTCTCATTTTTAGTTTAGCTCTTTTTTTTTCTTTTACTCTTATGACTCTTACACTTTGGGGGCCTGCCAACTGGATTGCAAATAAATACACAGAGGCTTATTCTTACGAATGCTCAGCCTTAGTTTGACATATTTCTAGGCAGCTTTTCTTAAATTATTCAGCTTAACTTTTGCCTCTGGGTTTTTATCTTTCTCTATTCTGTATACCTTTCTTTCTTACTCCATTGCTGATTGTATAGCTGGGTGGCTGGCCCCAGTTATTCCCCTCTCCTTTGCTTCCTCTTCTTTTTCTCCTTCTATTTCTTCTCTCTGCCTGCCAGCCCCGCCTATCCTTTCTCCTCCTTAGCTATTGGCCGTTCAGCTCTTTATTAGACCAATCAGGTATTTTAGACAGGCAAAGTAACACAGCTTCACAGAATTAAGCAAATGTAGCCTAAAAGAATGCAGCATATCTTTGCATCATCAAACAAATATTCCACAGCATAAACAAATATACTATATCTTAAAATAATATTCTATAACACATCTCCAGTCTGCTGTCCAGTGGAAATTATCTATAAAACAGAGCTGCCGATAATTATTGAGTTCTACCTTCATCTTTAACCTATTGCTCCCCTCCACCCCAAAATTCAATTCTGTATCCAAGCACATGGCTTGGCCATCTTGTGTTTCAAAGCTAACCATTTCCCCAGCTGGACTTGAGGCGTCTTTGGTGCCTCTTCCATGCCCACCATAAAGTAGCCATGCCTCACCTTGCCACTCAGACTCCAGCACATCTCCTTTGATTCTCAGAGCTTAGAATGATCTAAAATGCAATTGTCCATTTGCTTGTTTAGTATCTGGTTTCCTTTGTCAATTGACATCTTCGTATGAACAGATGTCAATTCTGTCCTTTCTCTCCTATTCAGGACTGTATCTCCAGCTAAAAATCTATCTCCATCTTAAGTAGTAGATGTTATTTAAGTGGTTTTCTTTCTGCCAGCCCAGGGAAAAATAGATTGCAGACTCAGAAAACGACCTAGCAGTATAATAGTCCAGTTTTAATTTTTGCATTAAAAATAAAATAATAGTTGCAGCCAGAATTACAGTTTTGACTTACAAGTCCCCTTTATAGACAGGTCCTGTGGAACCATAACCGCAGGATCTCCAGGACTCAGAACAACTGCAGGAAAGCCAAGAAGAGTTTCAGTGAGGGTCCAGTACTGATGGTGCCAGAAGTCACAGGCCTTGAACCTGACCAACACCATATCACACACTGAACATTTGCAGGTAAAGCTGTGTGGACAAGCGTGCAGACTGCATGACACACAGCAGCTCCCGTGCCACTAAGGTGAATAAAGAGGCCTTGGAGTGAAAGGAAAGATGGAGGAGCAATGTGGGGGTTTTGTTCATTTGTATTGGTTTTGCTCTTTTGTTGTTGATTTTGTTTCGTTTTGTGTTTTTGACTTAGTTGTTCTTAATTAATATTTTTATTTATTACTTGTTTTATTTTCTTTTGTGTATGGGAGCGAATGCTGCAAGGGTGTAAGGCGTTAGGGAAGGACTGGAAAATGAGCGGGACCGGGGTACGCCATATGAAGTTCCCAGAGAAGCAATTTAAATAATCGTGTTTAAAAAAAAGAAGATGCCCCCTTGGCAACACATCTGTAAGCCTGCCTTCTTTGTTTGTTTGTTTGTTTTTTTTGGTTTTTCGAGACAGGGTTTTCCTGTGTCACAGTCCTAGCTGTTCCGGAACTAACTCTTGCAGACCAGGCTGGCCTCGAACTCACAGGGATTCACCTGCCTCTGCCTCACGAGTGCTGGGATTACAGGTGTACGCCACCACTGCCTCGGCAACCCTGACTTCTTGAGAAGCCAAAGCAGTTAGATCCCTGGAGCCCGTGAGCTGGAGACCAGCCACAGCAACATCTTGAGATTCCATCTGAAATATAAAAGCACAAATAAAGAGTTGTGAATTAGAATGTCTCAATAAAAATTTACGGAATGAAAGTTAGTTCATTATTGAGTGTAAAATTGGTTGAGCATGACTGCAGGAAGTGAATGCACCTTCAGCTGCACTCATTACAATAGCAGAAGACGCTTCTTTCAAGCAGCATTTAATTAAATGGCAAATTCTGGCTTGTACTTAAGATATGCATTGCATCGTGTCGTGACTCACTGGGTCATTTATTCTGTCGGTTGAGCGTCGTGAAACATTCTTCACTTGACTTCATTGGAAGAGAACAGCACAAGGGAGATCTGCTCTCCTGAGAGCACCCAGCTGCCCCGACTGAGGGCCCCTGTTTGATTTTCATCACTTCGAATGTCTAACATAACTTCTAAAGTGCTGAGATGGCCAAATATGGGCTGCCCTGATGAGTGACCTCTGTCTCCCCTTCCAAACAATTCCTCCCAGTTAGTTAAACTGGACCCTGGCGGTCCTGGCTTCCAGCCAATGAGCCAGCAGAAAAGGGCGCTTGTTGCTTTTGAAGGGCGCTTTCCTCAGAGGTTTCTGGTGCAATGGTAACATCAGTTTGGCTCCTCTGCCTCCCTTTTCAATAGTAACATGTTCTCCACAGTCGCCGCCACTCACAAAACACTGTCAGAAAGCAAGGATGCAGAATGCCAAACACCGCAGAAGCTTGAGATTTACTTTTGCCTCCTAAGGAGAACTTCTAAATAGAGAGACGTTTTATAAACAGCCCCACGTCCTTTTAGAGAGGAAATTGGAGGGACGGCCTGGATGAAAGAAAGCAAAGCATGGAGTGTATGAATGCCTTTTATTCTGCAGAATTGTGGGTAGACCTGAAGGAGCAGGGCAGACAGCGGTCCTTTTATTATCTGCAAACTGAGCCCAAGGCATGTGGGAAGGTCCAGAATCTGCTCTTAGAGCAAATATTCCTTGGCTCTGGTTTAAACAACAAGAATAATATAAAATTAAAAACAGACGTAATGTGCTGTAAGAAGGGCAGTCCTTAGCCGTGTCTAAGCCAGGTCCTGTAGGTCAGTTCAGTTGCACATGTTAAGAGATTTATTTCCGAACTCGATGTAAACAAAGATTGTAAAATGTGTTCAAATTAGATTCTATAGAGATTTAGAAGCCAGATAATACACACATCATAATTAATAGAATACAAAAATATTCTATGAGGTGTCATAGCAATTAAATTCTCAGCTTGTCCTTAGGCAGAGTATTGGTGGACATGACATGAAAACAGGAGGGGAAACAAGGGGAAGGAAGGGTCCAGCAAGAGTGGAAGAGGCACAGGGGAAGTCTGTGGGAGAAGGAGACAAAGAACAAATGATATATATTGGATGATAATGCACTAATAAAACCATTACTTTGAATGCTGATTTAAAGTCATAGAAAAATGTTTTTATTATAGGTTAGTCTATTTGTTTTCTTTGGGAACAGATTCTTTTGTTGCCCAGGTTAGCTTTGAACTCTTTATCTTCAAGTTCAAGGAAGACCTCGAACTCCTTATCTTCCTGCTTCTACCTCCCAAGTGCTGGGATTATAAGTGGGTAACATCACCCCGTGTCATTATTATTTTTCCCTATTGAAGGTGAAATGCAGAATGATTTCTACCTCAGGAGGTAGTTAGGCTGTGTTGTTTGATCTTGAACTCAGGAAAGCCAAAAGCTAGTTTGGACTAAAACATGGAAGGCCCTAGGAATTTGGAAAGGGATTTGGATGTCTTCTATTCAAGAGGTGAATGAGGACACAAGCCCAGGAAGACTTCGTTTATCAATTCCCAACACCCCTGCCACCCCAGTCTCTATCTCTGTGTCTCTCTTATTTAAATAGACGGAAACTCTATAACTATTGAAACTATGGAAGTCAGAAAGCACTGTGGAAAATAAAATGGCCTGAACATCTTACCATAGTTGGAAATCATCAATTACAAGATAAAAGGTAATAAGGAAAACAGTGTTCAGTCTGGGGATATCTACTTTAGACAAATTTTCACGAATATGCTTGTTTGTTCCACACACCAAGACATTCCTGTATTTGTCAGAAGTTTCCAAACACAAATACTGAAACAAACACTGATTTGGGTCAACGAGTGTGATTCAAGTTGACTTTCCTTTGTACCTCAAACCCTCTGTTTCTCAGCCTGTTCTTGCCTGTTCCTCAGTCACGTTTCATTCTGCGGTGGTCAGATGGCCATCTGCATTCTAGCTTCTCTGTGTCCTCAGGGAGATGCTGGAGGCAATGACAGCTAATGTAGACCTAAGAGATGTGGTCACGGGCACTGCGATTTGTAAATTATTAAGGTAAGATTTCAAGTTATGTAACTGACCTTCTAAAAATATTACGACTCCCAAATCATCCTGAGGACTTAGGTCTCCCATCACTAATAACAAACTAAAAAAATAAAATAAAATTTATTTTTTTACTAACTTATACTTAACATTTTTTGACAGTAAAAAAATAATTTCCTTCATAAGAAAATAAGGTATTTGAAAAACAAATGAGCTGTCATATTAGTTAGACCAGAGAAAGTTGGAAGCTATCTTAGCAGCCAATAAAGTCTTATGGAAATGCATTAGTTTATAAACTAATTAAAATAGAAAAGTAGTAGTTTGAACATAAATAACCTGTATGAATAGAAAATGCCACCTAGAGAAGACACGGGTTATAAAATTAAAATCTCACTATCAGGCACTGCTACCTCCTTACAAGTTAGTAGTCAGTAAGGCACTAGAGACCCCAAATAGCAAAGTCTATTACCATTGTTCTTTGTTACCCTCCATAATGCGATGGCAAGACCCAATTGCTGAAGGCAACACACTTTGGATGTAGCTCATAGAGAAACCAAGCTGAAATTAATCTGGGAATTTATCAATGGACTTATCCAGTGGTAGACTATGAATGTTGCAATACCAATCTGCCAGGCAAAATGTGCCCAGGGTTCTAAGAGTGGCATGACTGTGCGAGAGGTCACCAACTGTTTTCTGGTTGGACTTGAGGCTGGTTTGACAGGAAGGAATTCATGCCTGATACTGAAAACCTGGTCAAAAGCCTATGGTTAGGGAGGTCATAGACCCTGGGGGAGAATCTGCTACTGTTGTTTTGCTAAACAGATGTGTTGTTCAAAACTGCTCTCTGAGCTGCGTGGTGATGGCGCATGCCTTTAATCACAGCACTTGGGAGGCAGAGACAGGTGGATCTCTGTGAGTTCGAGGCCAGCTTGGACTACCAGAACTAGTTCCAGAACAAGCTCCAAAGCTAAACAGAGAAACCCTGTCTCAGAAAAGCCAAGAAACAAAACAAAACCAAAACAAAACCAAAACCCCTACCTTCTGGTAGACCCATAGATTAGGGCTGCTCTCACCCTTGGTCAAAGAAGCTTCTCTTTTGCATGGGCAGCCGTTGATGTAGAGACTTTAACTTTGTCAAAGCACTGAGAATCAGTGTTGAGTGTTCAGCCTAGATGAGGCATCTGTATTAAGCCATTCAGGGCTCAGGAAATATATTGGAAGGAGAGGAAAGAAAACTGTAGTCAGAAGAGGTGGAGGGGAGGAAAAAGAAGAAGAGGAAAAAGAATAGAGAGTACACTAAGATCTTTAAGCCACGCAGTGTGACTGGGTGACAGGCGCTGAAGGGAGAGAAGGCCACAAAGGCAAACAGGGGCCAGATTAATAAGGCCTTGGGGTTTAGTCCATAAAGAGGCGCTGTTGTAAGCTTTAGAGGCCAAAATATTACAACTGTGGCAGAATATGTATGTAGTCAGGTTTTATTCATTGGATGCCTTCATAGCCATGTATTTCTCGATCCATTTTTAAACGCAAGGGTCACCTGTGGAATGTGTGCTGACTTTGATCAACACAGGTTCTATCTAACGATAAATAAAATGTGAACTCTTCGCCTGAGAGGCTAATAACTGTGTGGTCAGATGCTTAACCTACAGAAATGACAGGTTGCGCTACACACCACAAAGGAACCTCTACAGCGTGCTACTGAATGCCAAAAGCAAATTCATTGACTTGGAGGGAATGGACCAGGTAGTCTAAAGGACAGATACCAGTCAGCGAAACAAAAACTCGCAGAAGAATTTCCACCAGTTAACCAGGCACCATGGGAACCCCGAGCTTCCCCCAAGTTAGCAGCTTCAGGAAGCAACTGCCCCAACCTCAGGTCCGGGTAAGCAAAGGGCAGTGATTGAGGTCTTCGGAATTTAGCAACTTGATTGAATACTGCAAAGAGACACAGCTCAGACCTCAGAGATGGCTTGCAAAGTTTCACAGTATGGTTGGAAATACAAGTTGTCTAAAGAGAGGAGGCAGGCAGGCAGAGAGGACATTTCGGGCAGACGGGAACTGTAAGTGCACAGACACGATGCTCTCCAGCCAAGTGCCTGGTGCTCTTGGGAATTCTAAGTAGGGGAATCAATAGCAGCTAGAACTCCAAATGCACTGGGAAACCGTGGAGAAGCGGAGTCAGAGCGTTGGAAAGCGCCGGCACTTGGAAGGGCACATATTTCCGTGCTATGCTACAGGGAGCAACCTAATGTTTTAGAATTTCTGTCCTTCCTTTTTAGGAATTCAGAAGTTTTTCACTCTGGCAGCAGCGTTAGGCATAGACCGAATGTAAAGCATTTGTCTTACAGGAACTGTCTGCTGCGGGCAGAACAAAGGGGTCATTGCTTGGATTTTTCAATTTCAAAATAGTTTGTTTTAAACTATATTTGGGAAACAAAACAGCCTGAAGGCAGCCTTTCTGATTTTTCAAGTTTGTTGTTGTTGTTGTTGTTGTCTTGTTCTTTTTTGTTTGTTTGTTTGTAAAGCTCTAAAAGCTGAGAGTGGTGCTATGGTCTCTTCTAAGAAGGCATAGAGTTGGGATGCGGCGTAGGATATTAGCAAGTTCCGGTCTCCCAGGATGGAGAGAAAGCCTCAGCCAGTTGAGAGGAGCCTCCAGCCGGAATGCCACGTTCCTTCCAGACTGACTTCTCCATTTCTGTCGAAATCAACCTGGAGGGGGATTGGGGTGGGGTGGGGTGGGAGGGTTGTGTGTGTGTGAGAGAGGACTTTCTGAGACATTTGCCATGAAGTCCCAGAACACAGAGTTCTATTCCCAACTGCAGCATGTCCAAACTGTCTGTCCACAAAAGGCTCTGTGTGTCCTGATGGTCACAATGGTCCCTCTAGATGGGTCTGAGTTAGTGTATTCCTGAATGACACATCAGACAGTTTTCTTCTGTGGGATAGTGATAAATCATGCTGGTGTACTATCTGCATGGACCCTGGTTTTTTTCTTTTTAAGCTGTATTGTTCTGCACAGCTACATTCCATTGGCCTATCTAGTGCATTATAAGAATGTCTTATAGATATATTTTCAAGCTCTGGTGATTTATTTGTTCCTCTTGAAGGCTTCATTTCAACCACACTCAGACTCAAAAGTAGACGCCGTCGCTCAGTGAGGACAGCCTAGGTCTCTTGGCAATCTGTTTTTGGGGTTTCACTTCAGCTTCTTCTTGACCAAAACTTCGGCATATTCTGCAGCCTCCTCCTTGTTCTTCCTGCTGCGTATCTCTTCAGATCAGTACCCTGGCATTTGTGTTGCAGGACTCATGGATATAAGATGCTGGATCTTGAGGGCTTTGTTCCTAGCTTTATCACCTACTTTGTTTAAGGATTTTCTGAGGACATATTAGTGGACATCATCTTCTTTAGAGAGACTCAAAAGCTTTTCAGATCTTACTAGTTTTCCGGGGCCCCAAATGACGAGGTACTTCCTGTCTCCAGTTCTCCTCGGTCTATCACAGTGTTTCTCAACCCATGAGTTATGACCCTTCAGGAGGTGAACAATTGTTTCACAGGGATCGCTTATCAGTTATTCTGCATAACAGATATTTACATTATGATTCATAACAGTAGAAAAATTATGGTTATGAAGTAGCAATGAAAATAATTTTAGGGCTGGGGGTTACCACAACATGAGGAACTGTATTCAAGGGTTGCAGCACTAGGAAGGTTGAGAACCACTGGTCTATAACAAGAATGCCCTGTATCCAACAGTAGGCACACTCTGCCATGGATCAAGATATCTTACTTCATGGGAAAACCTTGTTTGTCCTTCCCACCACAAAATCAGACCACAAAGCCTTTCCTCTTCAGCCAGAGCATCTACAGATACTTCTGTGGCCGCTGCTTCTCATAGGAAGTACGAAGCTTGCATTTACCCCACTTCAGCGAGTTTCTGACAGCCGGTGGTTCTGAAGGGGGATACTCAGATTCATCTCGACACCGCCTACCGCCTAGGAGGCAACATGAGAAAGAACGGCTTAGAATTTTTAAATTTTAAATTTCCTGAGTATTGGATACCCATTGCGATGAAGGTGAGGCTATAAATGGACAATTTTATTAGAGCCTATAAAGAAGATAAATTTGCTGAAGCATAGCCAACGAGATTATTCAGCTGTATTAGATAATGCTAAATTATTTTCCAAATTGATATGCCAATTAGGAGTCTCAGAACTATTTTAAAGAGTTTCTGTCTCTGGCTCGGAGGAGGACCTAAGGACATTGGATTCCTGTTATCAAACCAGATGACCTGAGCCCACACCTTGTCACCCACATATGGGAAGACAAAACCTGACACAAGTTGTCCTCTAATCCCCACATGTGCATTGTGGCACGTGTGTGCTCACTCAGACACACACACAAAATACATAAATAAGATGCAGTGATAAAGGAAGGGTTTGTGCATCCGAACACTTGCTGTTGTTTGGTCAGTGTAATGCATGCCAAACAGCACCCCCAAAATCATTTTCATTTCCTCTTCTGTCACTGAAAATGTTGAATGTATCTTCACGTATGTTTGCCATTTGAACTCTGTGAAATTCTTTTGCACAACCTTTGCCTTCTCTATCAACTCACTTGGTTTTGATGTTGTAGATCATTCGCTCCTCCAGATCCTAATCCCTTATTGGCTTCAGTTGTAGCAATTATCTCTTCCTATCAAAGTTTGTTTTTTGGACTTTTAGTTTCTGGCGAGTGTCTTGTACGAAACAGGCATTTTAAATCTTGTTGTAGCAAATTTATTGGTCTTTGGTGGTTAGGACATTACGTAAGACATCTTCTTTACCCTGGCATCATAAAAGTTTTGCCTAAAAATATAAAAATTGATCCAGCGTGAGGATGCATACCTTTGACACCACCATTGGGGAGGCAGCAGGAAGGAGATCTCTGTTGAGTTCGAGGCCAGTGTGATCCATATAGCAGGCTCTAGAACATTCAGGTCTACACAGTGAGACACTTTCTCAGAAAAAAAGACAAGTGTAACAGTTGGCTCTTCCCCTTTATGTTCTCAGTCCTTGTAGAAGTTTTTAAGAATGTTGCCAGGTAGGAATCCAACTTGAGTCTTTCCATGTCACAACCAATTATGCCATTTATTGAAAGCTGAGCCATGTACTCTGGCCACACACCCACGCTGTATTCCTACTTTAGCTTGTTAGTATTTTGATATGAAAAACTCCATTGTTATTATTGCAGTTTGGCCTTTCTTTCTTCCTTTCTTTCCTTCTTTTTTCTTCCTTTCTTTCTTTTTGTCTTTTGATCTTCCATGTATATCTTAGAACCATCTTGTAAAGAAATAACCCATTTGTGTTTTTACTGGAATTACAATGAATCTATTGAGTTTCAACCCACTCCACGCTGCCTTCAGTTGCTCAAACACCACTGAAATTAATCATGCCCAAATCACCAAAAACTCAATGTTGTCAAAACCGTTGGTTTTCCCTTTGTTCTCTCGCCTTACTGCCCCTGCTGACAGCATGCCACGTAGATGAGAGGGCTCTCCTTTCTTACTCAGTGTGTGTTCTGGGCTTTGGTGACTTCATGCTGGCCTGATTTTCCTCCTAACCTACATAGGGAACCCCTCAGTTTTTACAGGTGGCCACTTCACCTCGAGCTGACCTCCGAGAGTCAGAGCGCCAGTGATCTGCTGTTTACTTCTCTTCCCCAGTTCACTCTCTGGGTTGTGGTTTTCCAGTGCATGGCTTTCAGTGTTACTATGTATTACTGACACCCTAAATATAGAAATACACAGACTTAAACATCCAGTGGTATCCCTGATATACTTGACTTTCCTAGTTGGACTTCGAGCAGACACAAAAAATTCAATGCACATTTAAAAAAAAGTTACACCCTAAATACGATACTTTCTGTGATAGTTTGAGTGATAAGGGTCCCCACAGACTCATCTATTTGGATGCCTAGTTGGTGGAAGGATTAGCAGGTGCAGTCTTCTAGGAGAAGGTGTGTCACAGGGTGTAGGTAGTGGGCTTCAGGTATCAGAACCCATGGCAGGCCCCGTCTCTGCCTGCTGCTTGTGGAGTAGATGTAAACTCCCCCCTACTGCTCTAGCCCCATGGCTCCCTGGCTGTTGTCACACTTCTGCCATGATGGTCATGGATTTACACTGTGGACCCATAAGCAAGGCCCTGGTAAAGTGCTTTCTTTTATAAGTTTCCTTGGTCATGGCGTCTCTTCACATCAATAACTAAGACACTTTCTCAGACTGATAAATAACACCATCATATATATATACATACATACACACACACACACACACACAACTAACACTAACTAAAAGGCTGCATAAACAATAGTAAAAAAAATAAAAAATAATAAATAATAAAAAGACCAAAAACCAACTAGGACTTAATCCATTCTAGTCTGTATTCTTTCATCCTTATCCATTAACAGGTTGTAGATGCTACCTTCAAAAGTATTTTAAATCCTTTTATCTATGTCTGTTTCACATACCATCATCCTAGTGGTGGCCACTCTTCTCTTTTTGATTTGATAACAGCCACAACCCCCTATGCGGTGTCCCTGCATGCAATCTTGCTTTACTGTAATCCACTCTTCATTAGGTGATGAGGGTAATCTCAGAGTTAGGGCAGAACTTGTGCTGTCTTGGGTTAGAATCTTCCAAAGGCCTCCCACTGTAGATAGAACACAATCCGAAGTCCACACAAGGCCTACTAAGCGGACTCTTGTCTGCTTCTTGGGGCCTTAGCTCGCTAAATCCATCCCCGGCAGCCTTCCCTTTGCTTCCTAAAACAAGCTAAACTCAATCCTGCTTGGAACCATTATATATACTGACCCTGATGCCCTCGGCTCACTGCGTGGTCTTTGTGTCCTTCCTTAATCTGCTATTGAATCAAATGTCGTTAGAGAAGCGAGCTTCCCTAACCTAAAGACAGCCGTTCACCATAAAACTTTTGAAATTGTTCCCACTTACTGATTTAGATATTTTTTCTTGAATAGAATTTAGGCCTTTGAAAGCCAAGACCTTATCTGTCTTGTTCATCATTGTTCCTGCACCTTCAATAGTGCCTGTCACCCGAGGATCTCTTGACAAACATTTACTGAAGGGATAAAGGTTCTCCCAGAAGGATGTGTTGTATGATAAGAGGTTAGATGGCTATGGCCTAATGACATTCTAAAATCTTAAACTGCAATTCAAAACTAGTCCTATAAATAGGCTTGATATGGAAAGCAACGAAGAAAATGAACCTCACGCACTAGGGTGTGAGCATTTGTGGAAGTTCCTCCCATACATTGTTGTTTTGCTACTGATGTAATAAGTCAGATTAAGTAAGTTCGACTCTGAGTTCATATGTTCTCAAAATGAAAAAAAGCACAGTCAACTCGCGAAAATAGTTTATATTTATGATTTTGAAAGAAGAAATGAAACTTACAAATGAAACTCCACATGGGTGTGTCCTTTTCCCCTTTGACGACAATCCAATTTGTACTCCAAATGCTAAACTTAGTTTTTTTTATTATGTTCTTTTCATTTGGAGGTTGCCGGGGATTGGACCCAGGGTCTTGCGTATGCAGTCTACACCTGAGCTGTGTCTGACCCTCTCCCCAGGTCCTAGATTTAAAAGAATGATTCATCTCTGCCATCATACTGTGTAATTCATAGATTGTGTGTCTGACCCATTTCAGACGATGAAAAGCCAAACATTTTCAGTACCTACTTGATTCTTCTCTTGGTTTTAAATACTGCTTGTCTTTGTTGGCTGCATAAATAAAAACTAATAACAGCTAGTACAATGCCCCACATTACAAATAGAATATATTTGAGTAGTTAATGAATGATAAATGTGTGAGATGCATTAGCCTAGGCAGCCTATCAAGTCCCTCCAAACTCAAGTGCCCAAACACAAATCCCCCTGTGATAGCATTGACAGGCAAGGCCTTCCAGAGGTGACCGGGCAGGCGTGACTCACTCAGGAATGCTATTAGTGTTTTAATATGAAAAGCCCAAGAGAGCGAAATAGCGTGTGTAGAACTCAACCACACTATTGCTCTGACCTCAGACTTTCAGCTTCTAGATTCTGAGAAATCTTTTTTTTGTCTTTTATTTGCTATTTTTCTAGAGCAATTTTATTTAAGAGAATAAAAGCAACTGAGCATGTGCCTCTACGCCTTCTTTTTCATAAATAATGCAGTATACTGTAATCGTTGCTTGACCTCCATTTCTTTCAATAATGTATGCCAACGATGTCTCATTTATAGATGACGTCACTCTTCTAGTTCCATACAATTCCATCACAAGGTCATATTATATTTATTTATAGATGTTAGATTTAATTAATTATAAGTAATACATGTAACCAAATTCCTATTGGTGAGGGAGGATAGTTTCTGCCATTACAAACAAATTGATATCTAAGACAGTGGGCAATCTCATAAAGCACCACTTACACTTCTGCGAATGTATCTGATACATAACTAAAGGTGAGATTAATGGGTCAAAGGGTAAATACATAGGTAATGCCTTACTCTTGAATTCTCAGCCTCCACTCTTGAGCTTACCGGTCAGTCTGAAATGTTGCCTTGATCAGCTATGGTCTGGGACTTAAGGGCTACATGCTTTACTGTTTACATGTAATCAGAGACTAGACAGTCCCACCGTGGCCATTTATACAGTGGAGAGCTGGGAATTCCAGCAACAACTCAGTCCAAGAATCTGGAATCCTCAGGACAAAAGGTACCAATGACACAGGCCTAGTCCACAACTGGAGACATGGAAACTCCCCGAAGACTTATTGGTGCAGCCAATGTTCTATATGTATATGTATATAGCACCAATGCTATAGGTGATAATAGCAGGGAGAAACACGCGCGCGCGCACACACACACACACACACACACACGCATGCACACACACACACACACACACACACATACACAGCTGAGGTCGGTTGCATTCCTAACACTGGGGTTGGCTTGCACCTGCACACACAGGTCAGGAGCCTCGAGCGGCACAAGACGAGGAAGACAGACAGGGTTCCATGCTGTACACCACTCCCTCCCTCCTCCCCCAGCATCCCAGAATGTGAGCCTGGTCCTGGGAGCTTCAGACCATGGTCACCAGGCTCCATTGCTTTAGGCGTGAGGCAGAATATCATGGTGGCAGAAACACAGCAGAGCGTGGGCCAGAAGGAGAGAGAGCAATATTTGTTCCTTATTAGCCACCCAAATATTGTGCTTTGTTGTAGTAACCTGAAGTGACAAGAATGGCTTGCTCCACTTTAATTTATGACAATAACAAGTTTGTATTATGCAGTGCTTATGGTGTGTCAGGTACTGCCCTAGCATGACCCGTTTCATTCAAAGCTCCTCAAAACTCTTGGATAAGGTGCTATTCTTGTCCTCATTTTTCTGGTGAGGAAACTCTTACACATACTAGGTAGTAGAGTCTCAAACCTCACACTGCTAGTTCCCACACCAAAACTGACATTTAGAACCAGACAATTCTTGCTACAGATGCTGGCTTTAACTGGATGTGACAGTAACTGAAAATTAAGCAAATGAAAGTGTTTTCTGTACATGATATCTTTGGAGCTTGTCCTGAAGCTCTCTCTGTAGACTGTGTTGATCTCGAATTCACAAAGAGCCGCCTGTCGCTGCCTCCCAAGTGCTGGGATTAAAAGCGTATGCCACCATCACCTGGCTGTTTTCATATTTTAAATAATACCTTGTTCTGGGATACGGTAAGAGCTAGGACCACAGCTGACCTCTGCAGTGCAGAGGATGCCCTGAAGGCTGCTGTTAATATTCCCTTGCTCAGAGCAACTGAAGACCCCTCGGTGACTTGTTCACTCCATAGCTCCAGAGAGCCCTGCCCACGCAGTCAGGGCAAACGGCATCCCCTGAAGCCATTAGGAGTTCTTCATCTGCAGCAGATGGCCTAAAGGTTTGCTGGCTTCAACCAGGAGATCCTTCTCTTTGTGTAAGAATAGTACGTTTTCAGTTACATGGATCCATCAGAGTTTAAGACTAAGAGAACATATTGAAACGCCCCTCTGTATACTTTTTAACTGTTGTCTTACCTTTTTATTTTCAGCCCCATAAAACAGGCTTAAATGTTTTGATGTCTCTATAAACAATGGGGCTGTTTTTGTTTTCAGTTTCTTTGTGAGATGCGATGGTTTTAAATAACTTCTCTGGGGGCTTTGGGACAAGTATTTGGCAACAAAAGGAAACAACAGAATGGGAAGAAATCTAACCCAAGATTCTGTGAATGGCGAGATTCATTCCTTAATCTGCTGGCCTTTCGGTGGTGTCAATAACATCCTATTAAGCGATTTTGTGTGTTCCAGTACACACGTGTGCTTGTGCAGTAGTGTATCTGTGAGTGTGGTGGCCAGAAGACAAACTCAGGCCATATACCTTATTTTAAGACAGGATCGCCCATTGGCCTGGAGCCCTTCAACCCTGGGATTATAAACACACACTACCACACCTGGCTTTTTTTTTTTCTTCCACTTGAGAACCAATCTAGGTTCTCATGCTTTCAAAGCAAGCACGTTGGAGATTGAGCCATTTCCGTGGCCCTCTTAATTCTCAGTGAAGTCGAATGGTACTCAACTGAGCTGGTCCTCGCGGACTACTAAATTTACCCTAGAAGACAGGCGCTGTCACTTCCAGAAAGGACGGGTCCAAAAGACCTGTGTGTACATGGGACCTACAGAGCCCTGTGGCCTGCCTTTTCTTCAGGCTAACTGAAGTCTTAGGTCAAGAGGGTTGCTAAGCAAACAGAGCTGGTTGGTGAGAAGAGTGAGACATATCCTAAGCTCTATTTCCCTGTTCCATCTCACTGTACCCTTACCTATGGAGAAAACAAAACCCTATTTTGTGCAGATACTCCAATTTTCCTGTTCCAGTTTTGTGATTTTTTTCTCTTTTGACAGCATTTGCTGACAGCCAGCCGAGCTCTTTGAACATGAATTCTGTCTCTTCCATCTTTAGATAAAGGATTTTTTTATGGAATAAAAATACTGATTGGTAACACCGGTCATTGCCTACAAGTCTGGGCTCCGTTACTCCTTATGCAAATGTAGTGATTGGTCAGTTCTCTTCGGTGGGCTGTTCTCAATGTGAACTGAGAGGCTAGGCTGTGTGGCCCACTGTGTTCTTCCCAGCCCTTGTGTCCGTCCTGCTGCGAGCCACCATTGTGCCGCCGAGTTATCTTATCCTTAAGCACATTCGGAGAACATAGCAAGCTTTTCAGTTCTTGGTAAATGAGACAATGTTTTCAGTGGCTTAGTCAGGTTTGGGGCCTTGTTTTTCACACGCTGCTGTTAGAAGTTGGTATTCCTGCTCTCTCATGTTCTGTTTCTGTTTCTAAATCAACACTGCACACTCTGTCAAGCTGACCTGTCATTCTGTTCTGCTTAGTCTAGGTTTGCTTTTTGGTTTTGATTTTTGAGCAAGGAGACATCGCTGCTGAACAGAAAACCTCCCAGGTGGACTGTTCAGAGTTTCAGGGCCCTTTCAAGGGTCATACACTTACGGCATGTGGTTAAGCCAGGAGTTAGTGACTGATTCAAAGGTCCCAGGAGTAATCACAGGGGCTCTGGCTTAGGAACTTAGCCCTAGACAGATGCTCACATCTGGGGAGTAAACAGTAGACTTAAATGCATCATCTTTCTTGAAGCTTTTGAATAGACTCACACATTTAAAAAAAAGAAGAAGAAAAGAAAAGAGAGGCCTACAGGCCAAGAGCAATAGAGCCAGAGGCACACTGTGCAAAAACTTAAATCAAAAGCAATGCTACCACGAATTGAGGGAACGTTGTATTCATTTTTTTTTTGTTTCCAAAACGAAAAATACACATAGTTTCTTTGGTAACAATCCTAGCTGCCCTGGAACTAGCTCTTGTAGATCAGGCTGCCTTGAACTCACAGAGATCTGCCTGCCTCTGCCTCCCTAGTGCTGGGATTAAAAGCGTGTGCCACCATCACCTGGCTTGGGGGAAGGTTAGAAGAGGAAGGAAAATAAATGGAATTGGATGGCAGCTGAGTAACAATAATAAGACAATCGGTTTGTTGGAGCAAAGTTAGATAAACAAGTCTGGCCTGGGAGCCAGATGACCAGACAAGCAGAGCTTCTGACATGGAGGCTTTGGAAGCTGTTGCAGCATCCTGTAAATTCTAGTTCTCTATGAAACTGAACCAGCCACAAACTACTTCTTGTAGCTCCATAGCTTCCCACCAATCTTTAAAAGAAGTCCCATCCCCTGCACTAACCTGGTTATGCATCTGCGCCTTGCTGACTGAAAAGGTTGAATTCACACTCAATGCTCTTGGCGTGCCTGAAGGTCGCATGGCTGTCAGGACTCCACACAGTACATTTTGCTGAATGAAGAGGTGGGGTTTGGTTGACTCTGGGGGAACGGTTAAGTCTGTGTTAGACCCGTGAAAGAGTAGTTTCTTATCTAGGTGAAGGTAAAGTCAACCTTATCTGAAAACTTGCAAAGCTGATCAAAGCCTAGAACGGTGCGTGCAGTTATTTAGCCAAAGCCACGTCTTCCACGGCTGGTTCTGGCAGTAGATTTGGTTTTTCATAACCTCCTGGGGGCCCGGATAAAGAGTCTGGTGGGCTGATAGAGAAAGGAGTTTGGAGAAATGGATGAGGAGGAAGTCACTAACCAAAGAGGGCTGCCACTAATTGCAAGGAGATGCTATCCTTACAAGAAAGCCTGCAGAGGCAAGATGCATGCGACGTCCCCATTTGAAAGCAAGAGAACATGCTGTTTAAATCTAGTCCCGTGTGTCTAATGTAATGGGAACTGACTTTTATCAATAGGCATGAAGAGAAATCATTAGCCTTTGAATTTTGTGATTTTTCTGAAGCCTCGTATTCCATACCCCAGTGCTCTCATGAGGGGAGCTGTTTTGTTTATGCATTTGAGCCTTTTCAACACGCTCTAAATTGAAACGGAGAATCTGTTCTTTTTTTTCTCTCTCTCTCTGATGCTAGTGTAAAATCGAATAAGCAACAACACACTGCAGGAAGCCAGTCTAGCCACGGCGAATCTGCACTTGTGTTGGAGGGAGGATGGGGAGAATGAATGTTTGCCCTGTGGCATCAATTTCCTGCATAATGTTCTTCAAAAGGCATTTGGAAAATGCCCAGCCTCACAGATGTACATAAATACCATACATAACTTGTTTCTGTCCGTGGAAAGAGGCGTCTGCAAAATTATGACAAAGCTGGCTTTCCAACGCCTCCTGGCAGCTGATGAATCACCTCACCTTTAACTGGATGACTTAGAGGTGGATGATTCCAGGGTTTGACACCAGAAGGGCAAACTGAGAGAGCGGCGTTTGGCTTCTGTGCCTTTGTTATTCATTTCAGGCTACTTGTATTCAGAAGTTTGCACGCCCCCTCCTTCTGGAAATTGCTGGAAACAGTATATACCCCAGCAGAAACCAATCTATAGCATTTTTAAAGCCACGTATTTGTTTTCAAACCACATAAAAATGTACGTACATATCACAAAGCATCCCTTTAAGAATGGACAGATGTGTCCCTGTTTCTTCAAGTCTTACTATCCCAAATACTGCAAATATCATTGCTGGTCCTCTTGTTTAAAATGTGATGGTTTGACTGAAGAACCAAACCCATTTCTGCTCAACCTGTGGAGCTGGGACAGAGTTTAAGAACTTGACATGCAGAGGAAGATTCAGATGTAAAGGATCTGCTTTCTAGTTTAGCTTTGCTGTTTTCTCCTTCAATGCTTGGGATCTAACCCAGGGCCTTATGCAAAATCTATGCATGCTAGGCAAGAGCTCTAACAACTGAGCCACATCCCCAGCTCCAAGCTCACCTAATAAAAGGCAAGAGAAGAAATAATTAGCTGTGTCCTATTACCTACCATGTATGAGGAGCCTTTCCATGTATCAGTGGTAACTGTTTTAATACTTCTGCGTTTGTTCACACCCCCTCGTTTCATAGATAAGGAAATCTGAACACACCGTTCAGTTGCTAATAATCGAATTCAGGCCCAGGTCTGTCCGGTCCTAAAGCCTGTGGTCTTTTCTCAGCCTTAGAAATTATTAATCTAAAGGATCCACAGAAGGTCTCAGAAGATGCTCAGTGGTCCACATCTTCTTCGTCTCTTTTCTGACAGGGTCTCAGGTAGCCCAGGCTGGCTTCAAACTGGCTAGGCAGAAGTTTATCTTGAACTTCTAATCCTCTTGCCTCTGCTTCTGGAGTGCTGGTATTATAGGTTTTGACTATCACACCCTGTTTAATGTGGTGCTGAACCTTAGTGCTTGTTTGGCAAGTTCTCTAACAACTGAGCTCACAGATCCTTGCAAGTCTTAAATTAACATAAATCTGCCATTATGTGTATATGCTGAGGAGAGGGACTAAAACTTCTCAGATCTGTTGGCTGTATCCCTAAAGCCCAGCAGACTTGTATTTGTTTTCTCCTGGGTGTCTCTGGTCACACCTTTCCCCTGCCTTCCTGTGGTAATCACCGCTCTACTCTTTTTCAATGTATTCAACTTCTTAAGAGCCCGGATAGAAAGTGACATTACACTGAACCCGCCTTTCTATGCCTGACTGATTTCTCCTGACATAATAATCCCTTCTAGGTTTGCCCACGCTGTTCTGCACAATGGAATTTCCTGGTTGCTTGTTTTTAACAGCTGAGTAGTACTCCATTGTTCACGCAGACCACAGTCAAAAAACATTGGTTCCCTTGGTTTCTGTGTCTCAACTGCTGTGAGCCAAGCTTCAGAAAAGGAGAGCGGACATCCCTTAAGCCTGCTGATTTCAGCTCCCCAGAGTATCCGCCCAGGGCTGGGGTTCCTGGGTTGTGTGGTTGCCCTACTTTTAGCGTTTCCCTTTGAGAGAGCTCTGTGGTGTTTTCCAGACTGCCCTTGCTAATCTGCAATATGACCAGGATGTTCGGGCGTCTCCTTTTGCTACTGCCCCGCCAACAGGTGTTATCTTTCATCTTTTTATAACAGCCAGGCTAACAGGTGTGAGGTGCTCGCTCTCCCTGGCTTTGATTTGCATTTCTCTGAAAATTACTGATATTGAGAAGTTTTCGTATAGGTTTTTTTTTTCTCATTTGTATACCTTCCTTTGAGAAATGACTATCAAAGCCCCAAGGCCCACTTGTTAACCATGCTGTTTTCTCCTTACTGAGTAGTTTGAATATAGTTCCTTATCTCATGTATGATTTGCAACTATTTTCTTACAGTGTGTAGGCTCCTCTCACTGGACTATTCCCTTGGTGGAGTAGGTGCCCTTTAGTCTCACATAATCTCCTTGACTACTTATTAAAATACTTATTTATTTACCTACTAATGTATCATTTCATTTTATTATCGATTTGTTTCTCATAGATATAAAAACTCATTCAGGTCCCTAAAAATTAATCTGAAGACCAATAAACAACAACAACAAAGCTAATATGTGGCTTGGTGGGACATGAAACTATGCCTGGAAAAAAAATCAAAAAACAAAACAGAAAAAAATAAACTAAAGGTACAAATGAATGGTCAATAAATCTCATACCAGGGAGTTTGAGACAGGAGACATACTCCCAAATGCTAGGCCACAGAGATCCTGCATGAGAGAACAAAACAATAAAAGGAAAACAGTCCAATTAAAGGTGGTGGTGAAACAGGCCTGTAATGCCAGCACTTTGGAGGCAGAGGCAGGCAGATCTCTGAGTTCGAGACCAGTCAGAAAAAAAAAAATTTGAACAAAACAGTACAGTGCTATGGACCTTTAATCACCCCCTGGGAGATAGAGGCAAGAGAATCAAGAAGAGCTGAAGGTCATTCTCTTCTATATATTGAGTTGATGGGTAGCCTGGGCTACAGGTGACCTCACCGAGAAAACGTTGAAAAACAATAAAAGAAAAGAAATATTGCACCTGCCCATCTCCAACCGCGGTGCAGACAGAAAAAGAAACCACTGAGTTCCCCCCCCCCCCCGGTAGATTCAGAGCCCCTCAAGGCCGGACTTGCCTGCCACGCCTTCTTAACCCATGCCATCTCCATCTTGGTATCCAGAAATTGAAGCAAAGTCTGAATCCCTGGAAGGCTTCCCGTCTTGTGGCAAAGTCGGCTTAACCAGGAGAAACCAGGGATGGGGGCTCCATCCCCAGATTTGGATGTCCCTAACAGGGCCAGTGCTTAGAGTTCCAGAATGAATGTTCACGGCTCGCGGAGGACTCTGCGGGATTGATGGGAAGGAGCCTGGACCTCCAGCGTTGGGAATGAGGGGAGCGGGCCATGTGGAAAGTTAGGACGCCATGCTGCTGACTGAGTAGGGTAAAAGTGCTGAAGTGGGCTCCTGGAGACTACTGCCATGGTTTGAGCGTGCACCCGATGAAACACCCCAACGTGCTCCCTTTTTGGGATGAGTCTGGCAGCCTGCACATTGCGTGCTTCTTAATCACGTAGAGGTCCACCTTGAATTGTTTCCCTAGCTCCCAGTGCCGCCCCTTCTTCTGGTCACAGGGACCCAGAGTTCTTCCATCTTGGGTGAAGCTTCCCTCGGGTCACGACCTGATTCTTGCTTACAGGCTGTTGTGAGAAGCCCTACGTTGGTCCTGGAAATAGAACTCGGGTCCTCTGGAAGAGCAGCAAGTGCTCTTAACTGCTCTGTTATCTGCCAGTCCCCTTTGTCTATTTTCTGCTTTCATTATTTTCTTGCGTTCCTAGCTGAGAAATCATTGCTCCAAACAGTGTTGTACAGCTCTGTTCTTGTGTGTGTGTGTGTGTGTGTGTGTGTGTGGTGGAATAAGATGAACTGTTGAGACAGGGTCTCTCTATGTATCCTCGGCCAGCACACCCAGAACCTTCTTGCATCAGCTTTCCCAATATTGAGATTTGAGGCTTGTGCCGTAAGCCCAACATCACTGTTTTCAGTTTTAAAGTTTTATTGTTTTGGTCCAGTGTGGTGGCACACGCCTTTAATCCCAGCACTAAGGAGGCAGAGGCAGGCAGATCTCTGTTGAGTTCTAGACCAGCCAGGGCTACACAGTAAGACCCTGTTTTATTTATTTATTTTTTAATTCATAGTGTCAGTTTGCCTAGTCTTGAATACAGTACACACATGACAAACATCTGTTCAAAGACCAACACAAACCCACGATACAGAGACGTTAAAGAACCAATACTTTTATGGGTGTGTTTCTGGGTCATTACATGTCCCCCTGTTATCTATGTTGTAGTTTAGCAGATGGATTTGCAGCAGAACTGGCTTTCCTCTAGATTCAGCCATTCTTTGAAAAGAAGACTTTAAAATGCACAAATCTTGATAGAGCATTTGAAACGATTTGATATTCCTATGAAAAGATTAAATAACGGTTTTGATATTACCCAAGGATA